GTACCTCTACCTGCTTAGCTCCAAATAGCTCCAAATATAGGTCATGCCTGTTGGATTGGTGGCTTCTACACTGGCCTCCCTGGCACCCCAGGTCTCTGCAGAGGTGCTGGAGGAGCCAGCACTGGCTATGAAAGAGGGATAAGGTCAGAGGACACCTGAGCTTGTCCACACAAGGGTCTCACAGCCCACCTTGACCTAAAAGAACTCCCTTTTCTTCTGCTGTGATTAAGACCTAAAAATATTTTTCCCTGTCTAAAAAAACAAAACAAAACAGAACAAAGTTAAACACCAGCTGCTTCAATAGGTAAATATTCTAACTCACTGTTGATTTCCATTCAGCCTTTGCTAAAGGGCTTGAAAAAGATTCCCTAAGATGTCTGAACATGCCACCTGCATTTTTGTTTAATCTGTTTGTTTTGTTAGCAGACCTTTCCTTCACAGCTTGCATGAAGACCAACCAGCCCAGCCCTGTGTGATTTAATACACATTTGCAGAACTGGGGGATTCAAAGGTAATGACATTTCCTATAGTCAGTCTTTTTCCCAAGTGGAAGTTCAATATCACCAACCGGCCAACATTCCGTTATGGCATGCCCTTGTCCTCACTGTGCCTGCCCGGATCCAGTACGGATGTTAAGAAGCCACCTGAACATAGCAAGGGTTGTGGGGGAGACAGTCTCTCATTGATCAGGAAACCTGGACCGTTGCCTACTGGAAAGCAAGGTTGGTAAATCCATGTGGTTTGGACAGACTCCTCCTCACCCCTCCTACTCCAATAATTCCCACAGCAAAAGGCCAAGCAACATTTGATAGAGAGAGAGGAAAAGTGGCCACACCGTTGACCTCAGAGGAAACCCAGGAGTCAGCAGTGAGAGCTAATCACCCCCTTCTTGTCACCATTTCCAATAAAAACGGTGGCAAAGTTACTGCCTTATAATCACAGATTCATCTAGACCAGGGCTTCTCAAACTTTAAGGTGCACGCTCATCCCCAGAGCATCTTGTTAGTGGGGAATTCTGACTCAGCAGGTGTCAGGTGGGGTCCAAGGTCTGCATTTCTAACAAGCTCCCAGGTGCTACTGCTGCTGGTTTGTGGGTCCTACTTAAAAGCCAGGGTCCAGCTGACATAAAATGCTTGTATAGACTATATCAAAGACGAAAGGTCTCCCTCACCCAGGGTAAGCTCAGATTCCAAACACTATGTAGGGGGAACTGAGAAGGGGGTTCCTCTGCCCTTTGCCCTCTTTTTTTTCTCCAGCCTTAGAACACCTGCTTCCCAGTAACCAATGAGAAATGAAGTCAGTGATTCCTTCCTGTGCAGTTACACACTTTAACTCATACCGAAATTCTTGACTGCATTCCTCACTCTGGAAAAGATTCTAATTTGACAGTGGAGGGTGAGATAAACCCTGTTATCAAATTGTATTTCCTGGATCTGTCTAAACAAATTCCCTTAAAACCTGCTAAGGAAATGGTTCTGCTGTTTTCCCGGTAATCTAGGTAGAGTTGATATCATTCAAAACCCAGAGATCAGTGAAGGCCACTTCTGCCCATTTCTCTTAGGTGCCTCAAAGGAGAACTCCACACTTTAGAGATGTTTTCTCTATAAGAAGTTAAAGAGACAGTGCCTGTGAGCCAACCAAGTTAAGGGTCTACCGTTTCACGTTGGGTAAAGAAATTGGAGGTTACAGAGGGCTGCCGTGTGCTAAGCTTTAAAGACACTAGCTGTTGATCATTTCTTGCACTAAGCACACAAAGCTTCCTATTTCTTACTGAATTAAGCATAAACCTTTCCAACTTTGCAGCCACCATTACCCATCATACCTACCCAACTTTCTTAATATCGGTCTAACTTATTTATCCAATCAGTGTACAAAAAGGAGCATTGATGAGTTGAAATTTTTTTTAAACCATGTAGATATAATTATGCAACAAGAGCAACCCAAATGCCATGAAAACAACAGGAAATAAAAGCTAAGTCTCTAGGCCCTTAGGAGACTTTTACTCCCAAATATACCAATTTCTTTCTACTCCAAAGTTGTCTAGGAAAATCTAAACCATAGTCAGCTGTCTTGCAAAAATCTAAATTGGTATCAATGCTCAAAAAGGAGACAGGAAGAAATGCAAGACAGGATTAACTTAAACCCTCCCTTTCATCAAGAAAACCTTCCATGTGTGCTCTCCTGATGAGGGTGGGGTCAATGGCACTGTGTATTTGCCACGTGTTATTTGCTTTCTTTTCTGGCCAAAGGGTATTTCTCTCTCTTCTGAATGCAGATCTCTTATTAAAACCTCAAATATTACTACTCTCCTAGATCACCTATATTCCTGTCATAATGCTCTCTACTGCAACTCATGTATAGATGGTTTGCAAAAAAAAGGTCCACAATTCTGAGGGAAATTTTGTTCTGCTTTTTTCCCCTCTTCATTGCCCAGTTTCTTCACATCGTTGATGTCTTGTACTGCAGGTGTTTGTGTATACCACTGCAAATCTGCTTGGAGATTGGCTCCACATCACCTGTTAACAAAAAAATAAAAGAAGGAAAGTTGGCGTTGAGGGAAAGCAGGAGGAGACGGTGCGGGAAGAACCATCGTGGCCTCTTGCAAGGGGTGCTGTGGAGCAGGAAGG